TAAAACTTGTGTACAGGTAGGACAATAATACTCAAAGTTACGACTTTCAACACCATTGCTTTAAAAATCAATCTGGTGGGTTGTCTGGCCTCAGATGTGCTGTTTTTTTAACTAGCCATCAATTTTGAGAACTTCATGTGCTATATCATTGAGTGTTGTTCTTGGGTTAAGCAACCCTTAATACGACATTAAAAATTCTTTTATGAGAAGTAGTGCTTCATAAATTGAGCTCTCTATATGGTTTCCATCAATAAAGTCTTTCTTTTTTGTTGATAAAAAAAATAAAAATAAAAAATAAAAATAAATTGAACTCTCTATAGAACTTTTCATATGCGATTCATTTTTCTCCCATTTCTTTAGAAGGAAGAACTATCTGTGTCTTTTAACTTCCAAAACGTCCTTACCCAATCATTTTCAGCTATGAAAGTTCTGTCCAGAGAACATTTTTCCAAAATTTATTTTTTTTTTGAAAAATACAAATTTTAATTTTTTAAGTCCATAAACTCTTTCAAAATTTAAAAAAAAAAAAAAAAAAAATGCTTATGTTTCTGTTAGATTGGACGTAGGAATGACAACGAGCCAAGACAATGTAATGTTAGACTTGTTGTGTCCTGTCTCCACCATGTTCCTTTTGGGACGAGACCAGGGCAAGAAAAATTGGGAATGTTGCAGGGGTGGAACTAAAGCGAGGAGGTGGCAGGGTAATAATTATCACCCTAAATAAAGAGGGTATACTAAGGCTAAGTTTGGCATCTGTTTAAAAAGTCAAAAAATTATTCAAAAAGTTAAAAAGTTATCACTATTCACCCAAAAAAAATATTAAAAAATTACTTTTCCACACATCCATACAACTCAACAGTCATGAAAAGCTGGCGCTGTGCAGCGTTTGCCCAAAAAATTGCACAGTTTGGGTTCAATTTTCACACACTGCTGTTCGGCCCGTAGGGGCCTATCATGGGTCCTATTTTGATAATCTAAACCGTTCAATGTGTAGAACTCGACGAGTACTATACGTCTAGAAAAAATCACATTAATCGGATATCGATAACTACATGATCAAATTAGTTTTGTATAAAAAAATGGATGGTGTTATAATTAACAACTGAAAAAAAACAAATCTGATCAGATAGCTATCGATATCCAATCAATATGATTTTTTAATAGCATATAACAATCGACGAGTTCTACACATTGAACGGTTCAGATTATCAAAATGAGACCCGTGATGGCCCCCATGGGCCGAACAAAACCTTCAATTGCAATGCTCGAAAAGTAGCCAATAATTTCTTAGCATCAATTCGGCTTGCAGATGATACAACTATCATACATACATCTCCAATCTTCTCTTACACACTTCTTTATATAATTTTTTAATACACATTTTTTCATAAAAAGTCAAAAAGTTAACCCAAACATCTATATTTTTTTCCTCAATTTTTTAGTCCAAAAAGACAAAATACACATTAAAAATAATGTTTACATTTATTATATCTAACAAAGCAAATTATATATATACGTAAAAGGATATTTAATTAACAACAATGATTCATCCCCATTTTTCCTCCCACCCCCTTTGACCCCTTCTCTCTCTCATTGGTTACATTTTCTTTTTCTTTTTCTTTTTTTTCCTGCTCCTCCAATCACCACCCGCCACGTGGCAAAAGGGGGTGAGGGGGTGACCCCCAAAAGGGGGTCCCAAGCATTATTCTTTAATTAATAAAACCAGGGCGAGGCGGGAAAAACGAATTGCGGGAACCAAATTTCAACCCTCTCCATTTTTGTATTGGGATAGGAAAAATTTGCACAGAACAAGACGAGGGATAAGGGGTCAAGGCAGGACAAATTGGCATCCCAATTTTTATGGAATAATGTTGGAGATTTGAGGCACATATGGTTGAATCAAAATAACACAAAGTACCTTTTCTATTTATTTAAATTTTAACCCTAAATTTAATGTAAATTAGAGTCATGGAGAAGCAAAGCAGCAAGTTTAGGGAGAGGACTTCCTTACCAAAAGTTGCACAGCTGTAAGTTGTGTACCCATTCGCAACACTCCGGCTGCCTGTGATTATCGTGTTTCTCAACCCATCTCCGACCAACGTTATCTTGTTCATAGTGTTGGTAATCTCAACATTCTCACTATAAACACCTCTCTTCACATGTATAGTTATCCTCGTATTCCCAATCCTCTTCGACACCGCATGGTTAATTGCTTCCTGAATAGATCTAAAATTTCCCGACCCATCTTGAGCAACAATGTAATTAGCACGCAAAGCCAACGACGAAGACTGTAACAACTTTCTCTCCCCAGCCGAAACCCAACTCGGCCAATCACCTACAGCTTCTTGCTCGCCAAGCAAACCCGCATTGATGGCCAAACTGTTGCTAATTAGCTCCGAAACATTATTAGCCACCATACGCGAAATGAAGCTTGATACGTTCAGCTCGAGCGATCCTTTTTGACAAGTTTGATAATTGGTTAGTGCGGTGCTAAGCCAAGTTTGAGCATCGAAATCGCTACAATTCTTGTTCGTCGTTAACCCTTGTAGGGTTCGGTTGAGTTGGAAAACCGTGTCGTCAAACAGTTTTGAACAGTCTCTCCATACGAGCTTTTCGTGCATGGTACGAAAATGGTGACCTAGAGCCATTGAGTGACCGAGAGCACGATGGGCTCGATCCATAGCTACTTTGACCGCCATTGTTCTAAACTCGGCTGTGCAGTTCGGTGAAAAATAGTTCGAGCTACGTCTCATGTAGACCTTGCAGGGTTCGGGGTGTGGTGTGGTGTTGCACCAGTAGTCGATGTCACGGCCGGTGGTGCCAGGAGGTTGGGCTAGTGGGGCTTGAGAGGAAGAAGAAGAGAAGGATATGAATAGCAAGATCAAGCCTAGACCTAGCTTCATAGCCATTATTTATGTGTGTTTTGTTTTTCTAGGTCTTGGTTTGATTTGCGTTTTTGAGGTGTATTAGGGTTCATATCTCTATGAGGGTTTCCTGTTTTTATAGTATTGAGAGAATGGAGATGGGTTGAAACTTAACATGACAGTTGGCATGTTTGAAATGCGAGTAATGAAACGGTTGAAAATAGGGGTTGGCGTGAGTCAGTTACGGTCACGGAACGTTCAATCTGTCATCTGTCTGTTAGACTGGTGGATTGAAAAAAATCAATCCGCGTCCGTTCATCAATCCGGCGGATGTGGATTGAGCGGATTGGCGGATGGATGCAAATCGGTTTTACGGTTTAAAATTTTATAAATTTTCAACATAATTTAATTTGTGCACTTCCTCAAAAAAAAAAAAAAAAAAAAAAAAAAAAGTATTACAGTCAATGACTTAAAAAAAATATTACAATTACTGCATGCCTCATCTAAAGTAAGAAAGTTTGAAACTTTAAAATATCACAATCACAGCATGTCTCATCCACATAAAGTATTCCAATCTGTAGTTCTTAAAATATAAAAATAATTCAAACCACCAAAACTACAAACAGAGCAGCAGTAGAGATTGTATATTTATGTATTGCTACATCTATATCTGTTTTTAAAAACAAAAACCAACCAGCATATATCATATTTTCTATTTATTATTTTTAGAGATAGATTTAAAAATCAAAAAATATAGATAAATAATACGTTTATTTTTTTCAATTCAAAAAAGATATTCAAGTTGAAATCTTTTTTTCAACAGAATATTTAAACGTTTTTTTAATTGAAAGCACAAACAGAATATTTAAACAAACTGAAAACACAAAGTCTTATAAATTACTAGGGGTGCTCGTGGTTTGGCGGTTCGGTTGCGGCCAAAGAAATCTCAAATCTGCTATCCGTCCACCAGATTGGCGGATTGGAGAAAATCAATCCGCAACCGTCCGCTTGTCATCACGCATCCGTCCAAAATGCAGCGGATTGATTCGGTTTGGTCTGTTTTGACAGATCGGTATATCCGCTACTCATCCCTAGTTGAAAATTAAAATAATATTTTTATATACACACAAATGCCTTGTTTGGAAAGTTGGCTACTTTAATTAATTATTTGACTTTTTAATTATTTTAACTTAGTTAAAATAGTTGTGTTTGGAAAGTTTGTTGAATTTTTTTTTTTTATCGAAAATGCTAGAAATCTCGAAAATTTTATCAAAATTTCTACCAAATATTTCACATGAGTATGGGACTTACATAGGACCCATATAGTGTGGGTCTCACACCTATCTATGACATTTGATAGACATTTTGATCGAACTTTTGTGGTCTATAGCATCACTTTTTTATTTTTTTATTTTTTTTATAATTGATTTGATAGTTATAAAAATAAATAAATAAAATAATTAAGATTGAATTTGATATTTTGTCTTACTGATTATTTTAATCTATTTTGTTTTTTAATAAGTTATTTTAACCCAACTCTCGTTTTAAATAAAGCCATAATCAAGCATGTAATCACATCATTTTTTTTTATCGGCAAAAACAAAATCTTTATTGATGGAACATACAAAGTATGAAATATTACATCAATAAAGAGGAGCTTAGAGCTAAGAAAAAGCTCCAAGCCCCAGTTGGTGAGGAACCAACAAAAGAGAGCAAGAGAAAAGGCACAGGGATAGATAAACAAGTCTAAACCTAGGAGCTAAGAAGGCAAATTGATAGTAACAACCATGAAGTAGCCCATAAACCAGAACACTGAAACTGATGAGCACCATAACAGAGATAGGCTTCCCAAACAAATCAGCCCATGAACCATTTGCCTTCCAGATGTATACAAAAATAGCACAAGCAGCCTTCCCACAACTAAGCAGAACCACCATAGCAGACCAAAAATCATCCATAGCAGACCAAAATTCAGAGATGCAGAAATAGTACTTCAAGATTCATTACGTGTTCAAGGCATTTTGTTCTTGTTAGCATATGTTGTTTTGGCACAAATTTTATACATGTTCTTGCTAATTTCTCCATAAAAAGTAAGAAAAACGAATAATTTTGATTAATTTCATTGTCACGCAAAAGTGATAATTAAGCAATATATTTAACAAAATAATTGTGTATAAACACATGATCGAACATATTAAAAGACATGATCACAGACCAGCAACAAATGGCACTCCGGTGGCTGGCAACCATGCCCGACCAGCAATCAAGTTTGTAACAGTGAATTGCGATGCAACATTTGCACTTCTTATAACATGATAACCTGGCCATTTTACTCTGTTTCTTGTGGAAGAACCTGGCCCAAGATTCTTATATTCTCCATAATACAAAGTACTCTGAGCGAAATTAGTGTTTTCCCATGCCATCCAACCCACCGGATTCACCAAACTACCAAGATAGGTTTTAAGGAAAATAGTTCGAGAGTATTGTTGCCATGGTCGTCCCAAGTACGTGTTGAATGACCTAACCACAGGGCTAAGGTCAGTAGCGGCCATGACACGTGAGTTATGGATTGAAATGCCAGTGTTTTGGAAAGGGTCACCTCTTCCTTGAGCAGTTATTACGTTCGGTTGGCCCCGTAAGGGCTTTCTTACGTAGATAATGCAATTTTGAAACACTACTGCAGCATTCCCAAAGATGAAATCGACAGTGCCATATATGTAGCAAGATTTGAAGAACTGTCGTTGAGCAAGGACGAAGAGAGTGTCTTGGTAGCCTTCAATTCCACATAAATAAAAGACTGAGAGATCTGATGCAGATCGAAGAGCCACAGCTTGACCACCTTGTGGCCCAGCTGTGTTGCGAAATGTAATACCACGAGCAATGAATCCAACACCGTCAACTCCTGGGGAGTCATGCATGGTTGTAGAAAATTAGTGTTATACAAACAAATAAAACTTACAGAAATGATGTGATTGATATCATGTTATTTTAGTTGATTATAGGTATCTTAAATAAGAAACGGTGGGAAAAGTTTGTAATGAATGATGTCAAAATAGTAATGTCAAAGCTAAATTTTGGTAACTCGGTATAAAAAAATTAATGCCATAATTTAGTATTATTATTTCAATGATGCAACTAATGTTTCTTATATTCATTCATAAAAATAAATTTTAATGTGATTGGCAAGTTTCCTATCATAAAATATAGAACAGCTTTCCTACATGCACAAAATTGCTACAAAAAATAGGAAGAGAGAAGAGTATGCAAAATAAACTAAACACAAAATAAATACAAAATATATATAAATGAACAAAAGTTTGACAGAATTTTTTGATAAAATTAATTTTTAAAAAGCATCTTAATCATCATATATAATTTCGATTTCCTCTCTAGGTCTCAGGTTCGAATCCCACCCCCAGCTGGCTCCTAGTGGGCCACTGCGTCTTTGCCCGGTCGATCGGCTCAGGGCCCCGAAATTAGTCGAGGTGCGTCACTCCGAAGGGGTGCTGGCCCGGATACTCGGTTGTCAAAAAAAATATATATATATAATTTCGATTTCTATACTTCTAAACTTGTTCAAAATTTATATATTTGGTGACCTTTTCATTGAGGGTAGTGTTTTTGATTAATAATCACTCGTCATAAAGCCTAGAGAACATAACAAGACATTGACCTTTAATTTGTAATAATAGACATGGTGTTGGGGTAGCTTTAAATGGAAGTATTTGTTTAAAGTAAAACTTGTGTACAGGTAGGACAATAATACTCAAAGTTACGACTTTCAACACCATTGCTTTAAAAATCAATCTGGTGGGTTGTCTGGCCTCAGATGTGCTGTTTTTTTAACTAGCCATCAATTTTGAGAACTTCATGTGCTATATCATTGAGTGTTGTTCTTGGGTTAAGCAACCCTTAATACGACATTAAAAATTCTTTTATGAGAAGTAGTGCTTCATAAATTGAACTCTCTATATGGTTTCTCATCAGTGAAGTCTTTCTTTTTTGTTGATAAAAAAAATAAAAATAAAAAATAAAAATAAATTGAACTCTCTATAGAACTTTTCATATGCGATTCATTTTTCTCCCATTTCTTTAGAAGGAAGAACTATCTGTGTCTTTTAACTTCCAAAACGTCCTTACCCAATCATTTTCAGCTATGAAAGTTATGTCCAGAGAACATTTTTCCAAAATTTATAAAAAAAAAAAAAAAAAATGCTTATGTTTCTGTTAGATTGGACGTAGGAATGACAACGAGCCAAGACAATGTAATGTTAGACTTGTTATGTCCTGTCTCCACCATGTTCCGTTTGGGACGAGAGCAGGGCAAGAAAAATTGGGAATGTTGCAGGGGTGGAACTAAAGCGAGGAGGTGGCAGGGTAATAATTATCACCCTAAATAAAGAGGGTATACTAAGGTTAAGTTTGACATCTCTTTAAAAAGTTAAAAAATTATTTAAAAAGTTAAAAAATTATCACTATTCACCCAAAAAAATATTAAAAAATTATTTTTCCACACATCCATATAACTCAACAGTCATGAAAAGCTGGCGCTGTGCAACGTTTGTCCCAAAAATTGCACAGTTTGGGTTCAATTTTCACACACTATTGTTCGGCCCGTGGGGGCCTATCATGGGTTCCATTTTGATAATCTAAACCGTTCAATGTGTAGAACTCGACGAGTACTATATGTCTGGCAAAAATCACATTAATCGGATATCGAAAACTACATGATCAAATTAGTTTTGTATAAAAAAATGGATGGTGTTATAATTAACAACTGAAAAAAATAAATCTGATCAGATAGCTATCGATATCCAATCAATGTGCTTTTTTAGTAGCATATAGCAATCGACAAGTTCTATACATTGAACGGTTCAGATTATCAAAATGAGACCCGTGATGGCCCCCATGGGCGGAACAAAACCGTCAATTGCAATGCTCGAAAAGTAGCCAATAATTTCTTAGCATCAATTCGACTTGCAGATTATACAACTATCACACACACATCTCCAATCTTCTCTTACACACTTCTTTATATAATTTTTTAATACATATTTTTTCATAAAAAGTGAAAAAGTTAACCCAAACATCCATATTTTTTTCCTCAATTTTTTAATCCAAAAAGACAAAATACACATTAAAAATAATGTTTACATTTATTATATCTAACAAAGCAAATTATATATATACGTAAAAGGATATTTAATTAATAAAACCTGAGCCAGGCGGGAAAAACGAATTGCGGGAACCAAATTTCAACCCTCTCCATTTTTGTATTGGGATAGGAAAAATTTGCACAGAACAAGACGAGGGATAAGGGGTCAAGGCAGGACAAATTGGCATCCCAATTTTTATGGAATAATGTTGGAGATTTGAGGCACATATGGTTGAATCAAAATAACACAAAGTACCTTTTCTATTTATTTAAATTTTAACCCTAATTTTAATGTAAATTAGAGTCATGGAGAAGCAAAGCAGCAAGTTTAGGGAGAGGACTTCCTTACCAAAAGTTGCACAGCTGTAAGTTGTGTACCCATTCGCAACACTCCGGCTGCCTGTGATTATCGTGTTTCTCAACCCATCTCCGACCAACGTTATCTTGTTCATAGTGTTGGTAATCTCAACATTCTCACTATAAACACCTCTCTTCACATGTATAGTTATCCTCGCATTCCCAATCCTCTTCGACACCGCATGGTTAATTGCTTCCTGAATAGATCTAAAATTTCCCGACCCATCTTGAGCAACAATGTAATTAGCACGCAAAGCCAACGACGAAGACTGTAACAACTTTCTCTCCCCAGCCGAAACCCAACTCGGCCAATCACCTACAGCTTCTTGCTCGCCAAGCAAACCCGCATTGATGGCCAAACTGTTGCTAATTAGCTCCGAAACATTATTAGCCACCATACGCGAAATGAAGCTTGATACGTTCAGCTCGAGCGATCCTTTTTGACAAGTTTGATAATTGGTTAGTGCGGTGCTAAGCCAAGTTTGAGCATCGAAATCGCTACAATTCTTGTTCGTCGTTAACCCTTGTAGGGTTCGGTTGAGTTGGAAAACCGTGTCGTCAAACAGTTTTGAACAGTCTCTCCATACGAGCTTTTCGTGCTTGGTACGACACTGGTGACCTAGAGCCATTGAGTGACCGTGAGCACGATGGGCTCGATCCATAGCTACTTGGACGGCCATTGTTCTAAACTCGGCTGTGCAGTTCGGTGAAAAATATTTCAAGCTGCGTCTCATGAAGACCTTGCAGGTTTCGGGGTGTGGTGTGGTGTTGCACCAGTAGTCAATGTCACGGCCGGTGGTGCCAGGAGGTTGGGCTAGTGGGGCTTGAGAGGAAGAAGAAGAGAAGGATATGAATAGCAAGATCAATCCTAGACCTAGCTTCATAGCCATTATTTATGTGTGTTTTGTTTTTCTAGGTCTTGGTTTGATTTGCGTTTTTGAGGTGTATTAGGGTTCATATCTCTGTGAGGGTTTTCCGTTTTTATAGTATTGAGAGAATGGAGATGGGTTGAAACTTAACATGACAGTTGGCATGTTTGAAATGCGAGTAATGAAACAGTTGAAAATAGGGGTGGGCGTGGGTCAGTTGTGGTCACGAAACGTTCAATCTGTCATTTGTCTGTCAGACTGGCGGATTGAAAAAAATCAATCCGCGCCCGTCCTTCAATCCGACGGATGTGGATTGAGCGGATTGGCGGATGGATGCAAATCGGTTTCACGGTTTAAAATTTTATAAATTTTTAACATAATTCAATTAGTGCACTTTCTCAAAAAAAAAAAAAAGAGTATTACAGTCAATGACTTAAAAAAAATATTATAATCACTGCATGCCTCATCTAAAGTAAGAAAGTTTGAAACTTTAAAATATCACAATCACAGCATGTCTCATCCACATAAAGTATTCCAATCTGTAGTTCTTAAAATATAAAAACAATTCAAACCACCAAAACTACAAACAGAGCAGCAGTAGAGATTGTATATCTATGTATTGTTACATCTATATCTGTTTTTAAAAACAAAAACCAACCAACATATATCATATTTTCTATTTATTATTTTTAGAGATAGATTTAAAAATCAAAAAATATAGATAAATAATACGTTTATTTTTTTCAATTCAAAAAAGATATTCAAGTTGAAATCTTTTTTTCAACAGAATATTTAAACGCTTTTTTAATTGAAAACACAAACAGAATATTTAAACAAACTGAAAACACAAAGTCTTATAAATTTTTTTTTTTTTTTTTTTTTTGATCAACAACAAAGATCCCTTTATTGATGATGGAAACCTTACAAGAAGGAAGAAACATCAACATAAGAGAGGAAAAATGCAAGCCATCACATGGCATCACCAAACCAAAACCCTGTTGGTGAGGAACCAACGGAGGTAGCCACTCACAGAACCATACACAGAGCAGAAATCACAGCATCAGATTAGCCTCCAGGGAGTGACAGTTTAGCACACCCCTCTGTTCCAGAGATAGCCACTACAGAAGCATACACACAGCAGAATATCCAGCAGCAGATTAGCCCACAACAGATTAGCCCACTTACAGCATCACACACACAGCAGGTTCACAGCAGGAGTCATCAGATTAACACACAGCAGTATACCTACAGCAGCTCCACAGATTAGCAGATTATATACGCCGATTATATCAGACCATACACCCCAAAGCCAGTCCAGACTCCAAACTCAGCAGGCTATAAGCTGAATAGAAACCATGGCCTTCCTCAAATGCATTCCTTCACCTGAGCCAAATTGATGGTTAGATCCAAGACAGAGTACCTGATTTTTTTTACAGCAGCTTTAACCCATAACGCAAATCTAATCTTTATCAGCTCACCTAACTCAAATACACTTGGTTGCACTCCACAGAACACACATTCATTCCTTAGCTTCCAGATAGACCAAAGTATAATACATGGCAAGGCTCTCCATAATCTCCTAGCTAATCTCTTATACTTCCATCCTATCCACCAATGAAACAATCCATCAATATTCCTTGGCACCACCCATATACACCCCCACCAAATCATTACATCAGACCATACCTGCCAAGAGAATGGACAGTGAAGTAAAACATGCACAGCAGATTCATTCTCCACTTTGCAAAAAACACATAGCACAGGAGCCTCATTGTTCAGCACACCTACATGTTTTAAGAAGACCCCTGTTTTCACTCTATTCCTCCAGGCTAACCACCCAAAAAATTGAACTTTGGGGGGGATGTCATTATTCCACACAAACTTACATAGTTGGAGAGGAGGGCCCAAGAGGGAATCACTATACCGATAAATATCTGAGGCCTTAAACTTGTCACCAACAGAACCATTCCAAACAGGGCAGTCTTCCTCATTCAGTCCTATAGAAGGGGTCACCAAAAGCACTTCTGCCAACCTATTTGCCTCAGCCTTTTCCCAATCATATAATGGCCTACGGAAGCAAAAATTCCAAACCCCGGAGCTGAATTTCCTTTCAAGAAAGAAGGACAGTGAACCATCTTTTACTGTTGACAAACTAAATAATCTAGGAAATTCATCTTTAAGACAACTACCACCAAGCCACTTATCATACCAGAATTTGATTCTACTCCCATTACCCGCCTTGATCTGAAATTTCTCCACAAAGAACTCCACAAGAGGCTGATTCAGACTAGCAACCACAAGAACATCACCCCAGATTCTAGAGAGTCTAGCTGATGAGTTCATAAGTGGGAGCCATTGACCCTCATCAATCATATACTTGCTACAAAGTCTTATAAATTACTAGGGGTGCTCGTGGTTTGGCGGTTCGGTTGCGGCCAAAGAAATCTCAAATCCGTCATCCGTCCGCCAGATTGGCGGATTGGAGAAAATCAATCCGCAGCCGTCCGCTTGTCATCACGCAACAGTCCAAAATGCGGCGGATTGATTCGGTTTGGTCTGTTTTGGCAGATCGGTATATCCGTTACTCACCCCTAGTTGAAAATTAAAATAATATTTTTATATACACACAAATACCTTGTTTGGAAAGTTGGCTACTTTAATTAATTATTTGACTATTTAATTATTTTAACTTAGTTAAAATAGTTGTGTTTGGAAAGTTTGTTGAATGTTTTTTTTTATCGAAAATGTTAGAGATCTCGGAAATTTTATCAAAATTTCTACCAAATATTTCACATGAGTATGGGACTTACATAGGACCCACATAGTGTGGGTCTCACACCTATCTATGAAATTTGATAGACATTTTGACAGAACTTTTGTGATCTATAGCATCACTTTTTTATTTTTTTATTTTTTTTATAGTTGATTTGATAGTTATAAAAATAAATAAATAAAATAATTAAGATTGAATTTGATATTTTGTCTTACTGATTATTTTAATCTATTTTGTTTTTTAATAAGTTATTTTAACCCAACTCTCGTTTTAAATAAAGCCATAATCAAGCATGTAATCACATCATTTTTTTTTATCGGCAAAAACAAAATCTTTATTGATGGAACATACAAAGTATGAAATATTACATCAATAAAGAGGAGCTTAGAGCTAAGAAAAAGCTCCAAGCCCCAGTTGGTGAGGAACCAACAAAAGAGAGCAAGAGAAAAGGCACAGGGATAGATAAACAAGTCTAAACCTAGGAGCTAAGAAGGCAAATTGATAGTAACAACCATGAAGTAGCCCATAAACCAGAACACTGAAACTGATGAGCACCATAACAGAGATAGGCTTCCCAAACAAATCAGCCCATGAACCATTTGCCTTCCAGATGTATACAAAAACAGCACAATCAAGCAGCCTTCCCACCATAGCAGACCAAAATTCATCCATAGCAGACCAAAATTCAAACACAAATAGATCAACACAGCACATCCCCAGAAGGCACCATAGCAGAACAACAAACTTCCAAGATTGCTAAACCTAGTTACTCCACACAGCACAACCCTCAAGTGGATTAGCCCCCAGCTGAATCAATTAACTTCGAAATTCTGAAAACCCTCCTCTGCACAGGCCAAGGACAAACTCCTCTGCACATTCTGAATCAACCTCCTCTGAAGCATCCACCCTGCTAATTCTGAGAGCATACCATGAGCTGCATCAGGCTAAACACCTCGTTTGGTGTGACTATTAAAACAAATTATATATTATAACTTAACCGATTATAGATTATGACTTTAATCAGAAGCTGTTAATCTGTTTGGTGTAACTGTTGGATTATAGATTTAAGTTGCTGAATAGTGTTTGTTAAATAAACTGTTAAGTAGCTTTTTCAATTAATTTTTATTTTTTGTTATTCACTACTTGTTTGCATTTCTCATAAAAATAATAATAATATTCTATAGTCCATTTGGGTCTTTTTTTTATTTAAAAAAAATAAAAAATAAAAAAATCTAATAGTATAACTGTAAATTAACATGTCCACAGCAGAAACTGATAAACCGAAGCAAGGAGTGAGCAGCTTCTCAAAATCAATTTTTTTAACTTAAAATAAGTTGTTAGAATCAGAAACTATTTGAAATAAGTTTTAACCAAATAGTCCAAGATAACTTTTCAAAAGCCAAAAACCATAAACTAGCTCAAAAAAAACCCAAACAAACATCCCCTATGAGTACTATGAAAGATCACGAGATTGCGATATTTACACCTATATGATGATTCTGAAACATTTTTCCATGTATTATTTTTATTTTATTTTATTTATTTGTTTATTTTTTGTTTTTATTTTGTGGCATGAAATAGCTTGGATGTGTTAAAAGTACCAAATTTATATATGGAGAAAAATTATCTCGCATTTTTACCCCTAATGTGTTCATGTGATAGAAATTGATAGGTGTAGTGTGAAATCTTAATTAAAAAATTAATATGAGTCATAGATGGATATTTCTATAAAATAAATAAATAAATAAATTGAGATAAAATTTCTGAATTTATAATATTACTGGTAAAAGTGAGAAACTTGCAGCTCTTGATTGGAAGCTGATGGGGGCTCACCAAGCAATTTTCAATCAGGAGTTGACTGTCAATTTTAACCTGAATTTGGTTTCAATTTAAAATTTTATGGTAGTATTACTGTTTACTAAATTACGAAAGCTAGTTACTTAAAAAAAAAAATCAATTTAAAATTTTATGGTAGTATTACTGTTTACTAAATTACGAAAGCTAGTTACTTAAAAAAAAAAAATTAATGATTCGTCTCCTGAATTTGTTTAGTCCAAATTTATTTAAATGAGTCACTTTTTGAAAAAAAACTCATTCAGCTCTTGATTGGGAGCTGATGGGGGCTCACCAAGCAATTTTCAATCAGGAGTTGACTGTCAATTTTAACCTGAATTTGGTTTCAATTTAAAATTTTATGGTAGTATTACTGTTTACTAAATTACGAAAGCTAGTTACTTAAAAAAAAAAAAAAATTAATGATTCGTCTCCTGAATTCGTTTAGTCCAA